AAAAAAAAAAAAAAAAAGAAAGAAAGAAAGAAAAGAAATGAGTTTTCTAGTCATGATATACAATGTCTCTTGTCTGTAATCCCAGCTACTTGGGGTTGGGGGTTGATGTAAGTTATGATGATGCCATGGCACTCTACCCAGGGTGACAGCTTGAGACTCTGTCTCAAAAAAAAAAAAAAAGAAAGAAAAAAGAAAAGAAACTCATCTTAAATGGCTACATACTGTATGACTCGAACCAGAAAAGGCAAAACCAGGCTTGGCACCTGTAGTTCAAGCAGCTAGGGCGCCAGCCACATACACTGAAGGTGGCTGGTTCAAACCCAGCCCAGGCCTGCCAAACAGCAATGACAAATATAGACAAAAAATTAATAGCTGGGCATAGTGGCAGGCGCCTGTAGTCCCAGCTACTTGGGAGGCTGAGGCAGAAGAATAGCTTAAGTCCAAAAGAGTTTGAGATTGCTGTGAGCTGTGACACCACGGCATTCTATGGAAGGCAACATAGTGAGACTCTATCTCAAAAAAAAAAAAAAACTGTGGCGCCTGTGGCTCAGGGGGGAGGGCGCCAGCCCCATATACTGAGGGTGGTGGGTTCAAAATCGGCCCCAGCCAAACTGCAATAAAAATTAGCCGGGCATTGTGGTGGGCACCTGTGGTCCCAGCTACTCAGGAGCCTGAGGCAAGAGAATCGCTTAAGCCCAGGAGTTGGAGGTTGCTGGGAGCTGCATGACACCATGGCACTCTACCAAGGGCGATAAAGTGAGACTCTTGTCTCTATTAAAAAAAAAAAAAAAAAGAAAAGACAAAACTTCAAAGACAAAAGATTAAAGGACACAGTGGCTCATGCCTGTAATCCCAGCACTCTGGGAGGCTGAGGCGGGAGAATTGCCTGAGCCCAGGAGCTCAAGACTACAGTAAGCTATGATCACACCACTGAACTTCCACCAGGGTGACAGAGAAGGAAGACTCTACCTCTAAAAAGAGAAAAAAAGGCCAGGTGCGGTAGCCCACGCCTGTAATCCCAGCACTTGGGAGGCCAAGGCTGGTGGATTGCCTGAGCTCACAGGTTAGAGACCAGTTTGAGCCAGAGCAAGACCCCATCTCTAAAAACTAGCCAGGTGTTGTAGTGGCTTAAACCCAAGAGTTTGCAGTTGCTGTGAGCTATGACACCACAGCACTTTACCAAGGGCGACAGAGTGAGACTCTGTCTCAAATAAATAAATAAAAATAATAAAAAGAAAAAAAATTAGTGGATTCAAGGAGCTGGTTGGATAGAAGGACAGTGGCCTAAAGGGATGAATAGGAGGAACACAGACAATTTTGAAGGCAATAAAAATACTCTAAGTTCAAGGATGCAATAGAGAATACTCTCTGGGCATCCCACCTGTGGCCCAGGACCACATCTACATGAAGATTTTTTTTTGGTTGTAGTTGACATTGCTTTTTGGCAGGCCCAGGTTGGATTCGAATCTGCCAGCTCTGGTGTATGTGGATAGCGCCTTAGCAGTTTGAGCTATAAGCGCCAAACCTTTTTTTTCTTAATTGAGATAGAGTCTCACTCTGTCACCCTCAGTAGAGTTCTATGACGTCACAGCTCACAGCAACCTCAAATTCTTGAGCTCAAGTGATTCTGTTGCCTTAGCCTCCCAAGTAGCTGGGACTACAGGCGCTGGCCACAACCCCTGGCTATTTTTTTGTTTGTTTAGCATGCCGGGCCAGGTTCTAATCCACCAGCCCCAGTGCATGTGGCTGGCACCCTAACCACTAAGCACAGGCACCCAGCCCATATGCAGATCTTTTGAGGCCCGTTTTTCTTAATCTGTTGTGTCAGATATAGCAAAAATTATACATAGACCTTTTTGAGTTTTTTTTTCTTATCAGCTTTCGTTAGTGTTTGTTTATTTAATGTGTGGCCTAAGCCAATTCTTCCAACCTGTGACAGAAAAAGAAAGTAGTTGAACACCCTTGATAACATAACAATGGATACATGTCCTTATATATTTGTCAAAATCTATTTCCAGGAACCACAACAAATAGCTGTGGTTCCCACTAATATAGAGGCTAAAGTGGGAGTATCAAACCTCGTCTCTAAAAACAAGAACGATGTATCCATCAGTTGTAACAAATGTACCTCTTTGGTACAGAGTGTTGACAGTGGGGGAGGCTGGCCAAGTTGTGTGCGTGACTCTCTATACTTTCTTTCTTTCTTTTTTTTTTTTTTTTTTGCAGTTTTTGGCCAGGGCTGGGTTTGAACCCACAACCTCTGGCATATGGGGCCGGTGCCCTACTCCTTTGAGCTACAGGCGCCACCCTCTCTATACTTTCTGGTTAATTTTGCTGTGAACCTACAACTGCTTTAAAAAAAAGTATATTCAAAAAATTTAAAAACACCTGTAATCTTAACACTCTGGGAGGCCAAGGTGGTTGGATGGCTTGAGTTCAAGACCAGCCTGAACAAAAGTGAGACCACATCTCTACTAAAAATAGAAAAATTAGCTAGATGTTGTGGTGGGAGCCTGTAGTCCCAGCTACTCTAGAGACTGAGGCAAGAAGATCTCTTGAGCCCAAGAGTTTGAGGTTGCTGTGAGCTATTGACGATACCATAGCACTCTACCCAGGATGATGGAGTGAGATAGAGTCAAAAATAAATTAATTGGGAGGCTCCTGTGGCTCAGTGAGTAGGGCACTGGCCCCATATACCGAGGGTGGCGGGTTCAAACCCAGCCCCGGCCAAACTGCAACAAAAAATAGCCAGGCATTGTGGCGGGTGCCTGTAGTCCCAGCTACTTGGGAGGCTGAGGCAGAAGAATCGCCTAAGCC